ATTTACTTTCCAATTCTAAGCAGACTTCAGTTCCGATTTCGGCGACTTTATGTTTGCAGGCTGAAAATCCGCAGTTTGAAAAAAGCTCGATCCCCTCTGAATGTTACGCCCTATATATTATAAATCTGGCTCTGTTTAGCCTTCTATTATTCTAAAAAACATGGTTTAAATAACAAAGAGTTCTTATTGGGAAGGAGAGGCCATATTTAGTAAGCAAAAATATCACTGCAGTTGTAGAACCCTAGTTATCTTTCAATTGCCCGTGAATTAAAGTGTCTGACTGTTTAATAAACCTACAGTTTCCTCAGCGAACGTGCTGAATATTTGACTATAGGTAAGAAAAATTGAGTGATACAATAGCTATTTGTTTTCTATAGTATGTTTTGAAAGAAGGTTTTCGTTGGTAGAATTACAACAATTTTATAAAGTTAACAGTAAGTTATAAGAACACAGTGCAGTAGTACAGAGAAATTTCTATTTCTTCCGTTATATGCAAGTAATTTCGAAGCGATCGCACGACAATCGAATCTGTTTGTCATCGACATCACCCACAAGCCGACGTCCTCCCTACGCGCAGTATTTTCCCTGGCAAATGGTCCCATAATCAATGAACAATAAAATAACGTTACGTACCGCATCCCGTGGACAAACTCTCGCTGTGGTTATGTTGGTCACACGGGTCGACGAGTTGGGACTCATATCAATGAACACAAGCTGACTATCCGCTGCAGTGACCCCTTATCTGTTGTGATTGTGAATGTGCTTGATTGTGGCCACTGTTTCAATTGGGATGGCACTGAAATGGCCCCCATGGCTAACACTAAACAAGCATGCAAATGCTTTGAAGCCTGTTATCCAGTGCGGACAGCATCAATCGCCATGTTGACCTAGGTGTCCACTACGAGGGCCTCCAATCATTTGAACTGACTGGCGCCCACCTCAATAACAACAGTTCCTAATGCCTGCATGGACATATAGAATTTCAAATATATGCTATTGCCATATCTCCCCACCATAAGAAGATTCACACCTGAAATTCAAAATACCTCTACTCCGACACCCAGCAAAACACGATGCACATCACCGACACCTCGCAAAGCCGTCCGCCTCTCTCCGTCTGCAACTTTAAACACTAGTCTGAAAATCTCACTTCTTAATTTTCATTTTGTCTGACGACGGCTTGGCGTTACTAGCTTGATATTTTACGGATAAGAATCACTTTTCCGACGAGATTTCCCCTTCCACGATATCACTTCGTAATGCATACCACTTCAGTTATTCAATATATACACTTCTAAATACATGCAGGCATAGATGTGTGTGGAATGACCGAGGTGGTTTGCATTTCGAGAGAGAAGACTCGTCGAGTTGTACTCTTGCAGTTTCAAGTACCAATCAGTCGTAGCATAATTCTCTCCTAGATGTCTGTGCATTGATTTAACATCTGTGCCCGTAAAAACTGTAGTGTGCTAAGGTCGCTACCTACTATTTCTTCGGACGAGGGGTTGATGTAACCAGTCCAAAAAATCACGTTTATAACTCGATTTTCTGAAGAATTCATCGTCCAAAATTTATCTATATATGATCTACGAAATGGGATCGGGAGGTTACGATCCGCCGTGACTTGTACAAGTCGTCTTTTAGCCTATGCACTTCACGGCAGACAGTCTTGATAAACTCTTAGTAGTTTAAATCTGGTAAGCTTGCAAAAGCCTGGACAAACGGTTGTTCGCCAATGCCGTCGCACTATTTGCAATTCGCACATTGCCGACTGTCGCACTGTATGTAGGCACTAGGATACAACCGAGTCGTCATCTCGTCGGACATTTCAGTGGAGGTTATAGTCTCCTAATGCAAAGCTGCTGGATCACGCCTAGTTTGACAGCGGCATGACATTTGCCGAGTCGCAGTAGCACTTTGATTTGCAACCTTTTTTTCTGTACCATCGGCCGCCGGATCGGTGACCGGCATGGTATTGCCGGTGCATTGGACGCGACTGCCTACTCGCCGCCTTCCCCTCGCCTAGTTTACTTCTGCTCCAACGTCAGACTGTCGGGTTGCCGCCGCCGCCGCCTAACAGGCGGTGTGACGCTCAACTGAAAGCATCTGACAGTTGTGGACCGCTTCTACAGAAGCATATTATTAATACAAGGACGGCCCGAGAACGATCGTGGCCTGAAAGAAATGTTCTAGGCATTAACAGGTAATAGACCATTTGACGCGCATGCCGTAGGCTAGACTGCGGCCAAGTTGTTTGTTTGCCATCCCAATAGGACTATCATGCAGATAAACTCTCCTTAGAATTAGGTCTAGTAAACTTGATTAATTCCCACATACCTGGTGGGCATAGTGGTAATGGCTCAGAGGATCCGCAACTATAATCAAGTTTATAATGTAATATGGGTTTCCAGTCGGAGTCGCCGAATGGGGTCAATTGAATGATTCGAATCTGTCAAACCCATCCAAAGTAAGTGCGTCTGGTAGTTATCTGGTGGATTATAGATTGATTGCTTAGAGAATCCTGCTTGGGCAGTCAGCTTACTGTTTTAGTATTGGCGGATTCCATGCGTTGCAGTCGACTGGGCGGGTAAATCGATCCCAGAGTTATCAAATTCACGGCTCCCGGTGGGGCCTCGATAGCTCATTTGACTAGAGTGTTGGTTGCACTCCAGCCCTCTCCTTACTGGCGTGGGTTCGAATCCCATAGAGACCGCCGAACTTTTTACAACTGGGTCAGTTGCACAAAACATACTACTGAGGTACTTATTTTTTACAGAATATACTTTTTGTAAGTGATCAACAAGAAGCTCGTTATAAAAGCCGACATCATGAAATGACTGAACTGACTCCATTGTAGACTGGAAGACCTGCGGTTTACAATTTCGACCGCTGGAAATTGGAAATAAACCATAAGTGATCACTCCCATCTCTTCATTCTTCAGCGATTGCAAACTTTCAGTAGGAAACGCTTCTCAACCGGATTTTACTTCTACTTAATATGTTAAAGTGTTCCATGATATGGTAAAGCGAATAGACTGTCAATAGTACCGTCTCTTTACCGCAATCATTTAGTCTTCCTGGATAAAACTAGACACAGACAAGTTAATTTTTGCATATGCTTTCGCAGCCACATTCAAGCGACTGCGTCTAATACAGGGTGGCAAATTTGATTTGTCACTTGAGCCCAGAACCCTAAAGGCTAGCTCTTGTCTATACAGAAAATCCTTTCCATTTTACCTGAATTATAATTCTCGTCAATCACTCAATATTACAGTTAGAGGCTCCCTTTAGTACTCGTCGATGAACGTTCACTAACCGCTAAAGGAACTCACTTGTCCCTCAGTGCGGTGGGCTAGTTACGGCGTTAGACTCCGATCAGAAAGGTCGCGAGTTCGAGCCCCAGGTGGTGCACCATTTGGGGTTGGATATAATTGGCTGATGACGGCTAATAAGCCAGAGATGTCAATTCCAGTCTCCCTTGTCCTGGCTGGCAGTAATAGTTGCCTATACTAATAGCTGCTGCGGCTGCTTGGGGCCCGAGAAACGAGGCCCAAAGCGGAGCGGGACAAGTACTTTCCGTTAGCAGTCGATCGGTGTTCATCAACAAGTGGCAATAGCTCCCGATCTAATTTAGCAAGATAATGAACTCGTGTCTCAATGAGTGGAGCGGTAGATTTCTGATCGCAAAGGTCGCGAGTTCGAGCATCGGGGCGTGCATTCCCTGAGGCTATGTATGACTGGCTTACGACGACTAATAAGCCAGAATTGGCCATCCTAGTCTCCCCTGTCTTTGCCGGTAATACTGTCCGCCTTTACTCACTTTATTCTTAGATTTGTAGAAGCAATGCTCCGCTTTCTTCGTAGTGGACGTTATACTCAAAAATTCCAACATATGTAGGCTTTTTCAGCCAAACTGACTTTCCGTAATTACTCTATAGGGGGACCGGCTGTAATCCGCCTGGGTTTCCTAAACGATATAATTGTCCCATGTCCACGAAATTACACTTCCGAATCAAGATGTCTACAAGTTTGTTTTGCATCACAGTGAATTTCTCCTAGTGGCACCCTTGCAACCAACTAAAAGTGCACTTCAAACTTTTTTCCCCCCGATGACGGAAAGTTTTAGGGAGGTTGCACTCCGACGACTTCCAGAGTGCGGCTGACCCCTGCGGACGTTTAGTCCTCCACCCATCCGTTCCCAATCAGACTTCCCTTCCCCTTAGAAAGCTTTCTGTACGGGCTAATCCTAATTGAACCTCTTTTTGCGCACTTAGCTAAGTGCACATGCGTAAGACACACACTACCATGGCTTCCGGTCTAAAATTGCGTAACGATCTGCACCTAGGCCATTGAGAGCGGCGACACTCGACGTTGTGGTTCACAAATACAGGTCCAGGTCTTTCGAATCGGACCTGTGACTGCCTGCCTGTCCTACTTCTCGACGTCCACGAATAGGCGATGTGCATCACCTGGATCAAGACAAAATGTTGCCAACATTTTCAGGCCGACAGCAGGCCTCAAACAGTGTATGTTTAGTGGATTCTAATAGCCTGTACACAAACA